TGAAAATGGAGATTACCTTTGCTTTATGCAAAAAAATTTCTACGATGCTGATAAAATGAGCCTCCACGCTCAGCAGTAACTTGATAAATCAAAAAACTGGGTTTCATAAGCATCCTCTGGGGCTCCAAGAGGTACCCAATTTGTCCGCGAATCGAAAACTTGAGCGTATTATCTCAGTCAAAATTTCGGATGTATTTCATTATTGTTGGTTAATAATTTACACTTCTAAGATATATGTTTTCAAAAACTATCTGCAATGATCCGACATAGTGTTTCTGAAATTTTATCAAAAAATAATATATAAATAATCATACGTATACCGCTGGTTTCCTCTTGCAAGCTTATATTGTCTATGGCGTGCGAAAAACCGTTTGATCACATTAAAAGTACACATACTGTGATCAAGCAGTTATTTCACCAAATTTAAATTAAATAGAAAAAAAGGAGCTTCGTGGATTCGAACCTCCGTTCTGCGGATCTGCAACCGTTACTCGTTCCCACTACATTACGGCGCCTCTTGGTTTAATGGATCTTTATACCACTATACTTGACACTGACAACTGTCAAGCGAACGTTGGCTGCACATCAAATCTGTTATAAACAATTACGTAGACTACCCTCAAAACAAACGTGTACTATATTAATACTTTTATAGAAAAGTCCAGGGAATTATATTGGTTTGTAAAGAAACGATTTCGTGATCTACTTACCTGACAAAGTCGTGCAATCATGAATAATGCAGCTATTTAGCATGTGCTACATACTAACAGTTTGAACTTAATCGTCTTCTTTACGTGCTAACTTTATAAACAGTTCAGTGCATATCAGTATGGAATTATGTATTTTTTGAGGCTCACCTGTGACCGGGTAAAAATGTCAGCTCTAACGAAGTATACATAAGAGTATGAAGAAATCTTGGGAAAAATATTTTTTCTTCGTCACAAAAGGTGCTGATGACACATCCGCTCTATTTTAAAATCTGTATAATAACTTATGTTTTGCGAATATCGTAACGCATCCGTTCAATTTCTCACCAATACGAAATCTTTGAATGTGTTTAGAAAAAAAAATGAAACCCTTTGTTTTTCGCTATAAAATAACATTTATCTATCGAAATAGTTTGTTATTCAGATCGGCAAGGTAAACTCGTGTATTTTGCTATAAAATGCCCTTTGAACGAACCCTGTACGTTGTTCAATAAACTGATAGTGATGGCCGGAAAACTCGTGTTTTGGGATGAACTTCTCAAAAACTACTTAACCAATCTACTCCAATTTTGTTGTGGTTATTTAGAAGTATGGAGTCTACGAATTTGAAAATTTTCAAATACCTGCGTGAAATTATCGTCGCATTACCAAGTGCCAAAACCTGCCTTTTGCCTAAGTTTTCGGCCATAACTGTTTTTGCTATTATTCGGAAATTTTTATGTGTGGTCTCATATTGTAGGTCTCGTAAATACCTAAAAAACTTATTTGAAGAGTGTTTTCGTTCCTGCGAAAAACTTTGGATTGAATCCCGAAAAACAAGTTTTCTCAACCTTTATTGTCGATAAGAAGTTTTCCCACAAAAATTGGTGTACCCATTTTATGCGTCCAAGTTTTAAATACCGCTTTGAACAACTTGCATCAATAAAACCAGACTTTACAATTATTTCGGGGAAATTTGCTAATATGATTATTGATAAGTATTGAGCTGCGGGCCTACCCTTATTCCTGCAACGAATAAAAAATGTCCTGTATCAATTTGGAGGGTTCGCCAATATAAGTTATGAATAAGATTAAACATTCGATTTGTTAAAGTATATGTTTGAGAACTCTAGATTTGCCTGTGTTTATTTCGTTCGTAGTTTACATCTAAAATAGTCTTGCGTTCCATTCGGAGTTTTTTATGCATCTCTTTTGCTTGAAAAGCCAGTTGCCGACTAAGCAGGTGGGTCAAACTTCACACTTTCATTCATTGGTTTTAAATAACGAACTCACAAACTAAGCATTTAAATGCACCTCAAATAAATTTTCTTTTACGTTATAAGCAGATTTTGAAAACCTTGATTAGCGTAATTGACATTTCATTTGAAAATAGAACTAATGTCAAGAATTATGTTAGTAACCAAACTTTTTACACTGACAATGTTGGACAGCACTGTTACTTGGTTATTTCTATATAGAGATGGTATTTAGGCAGTTATTATTTTATAACTCAGATTCATTTGCCGATGGTACCTGTCGATGTTACGACTCCTATTGTTTATGCCGATTGCATGTAACATATACATATAGTATATTCATCAACTCTGACCTTTGATATCTTAAAATCTCTACATTATCGAACCCTGTACCCCCTTTCTGATATGTTTTGTGCCGTTTTCAAATCACAATATTGTCTCCTTGAAAAATATGACAACTTACTTTTTGGTCTAAAAATATATTCAATTGGCATATTCTCATAAGTACACATATATTGCTTTGTTGCATGTTGATATCTATACGTATGAAATAATCTCTCGTGTACAAAGTGGCGCAAGTGGGTAAGCAAATAACTGTGAACGTTCTTTCGAGAGAAGCAGCTGCACAGTATTAACTCATATAATTCCATGTCCTAATAATCTGGAATCTGCTTAAAGTTATTCTACCATTCAACAGATCATTCCATTTGAAGCATGTTAATGTTATGTTGATTTTCTGCTCTAAAGTACAATGCCAATGCTAGAACAATGTTGTACATTTTCTCAAGAATATTGTTCATTGCCAATTGTGTATCTATGGTGTTAGAGAATGGAAATCTTGCGTTTATGCATCCAATGTTTGATAGACAAACATCTCTTTCCACCCCTACTTAGGTACACGCTCATTGTGGCGAAGGAAAGCAGATCATTGTACTCCTAAGGGATAATTAATTTGTCCATATTTTTTTTTTTATATAAAAGACATTGTAAATGTTCAGTATAAAAAATATATTGAGGGTGATTCAAAATAATATTTCTAAAGCAAAAAAACTTTGAAGATTGTGGAAAAATCAAGATTTTACAGACATAATTCCTAATAAGCGATTTTGGGATTTACTCGAGAGCGGCAATTTAACATATGGATGGATACCTTGCGTCCTGTTAACAACCTACACCATATGTAAGCCCCTTATACAAGGGTGTACGCCTAGGGAAGCCATTCAAGATAGTAAAAAATCGATCGTTAGAAATACTCCAGTGCGTCAGACTAAGATAAGGTGGGTAAATTATATGCTGGAAAGTGTGTATTTCAATAAGCTGACGATTGAGTGACGTTATTGGGGGGAGGATCACAAACTTCCAAAAAAACATCACCTAACATTCTAGACTTTTCGGTAGATTTTTTCCACTTTAAAGAAATAATCAAGAATAGCGGCGATACAGAGTGTTTTCAAAGTTGAGTCATTTATTTTAACTGCTTGTAGGACTCGTCAAAAGTAATTGATATATCAAAAATCACCTATATAAAAAAAATATTTTAAAAAATAAGAATATTACGCAGATTTTCTAAATTCGGCAAACTTTTTGTGTTATTGAATGTTGCGTATACTTTCATTTATCTGATTATTTTGTGCGAAAAAAAGGCCGATGTTTACGAAAACAATGAACTAGTGGACAAGAGTGCCAACAAAATGCAGCCGCAGCATGCAGGTTGTATGCGGAAAGGTTTCCTTTAAGAAATCATCCGGTCCTACGGATGTTTTTAAATTTAGTTATTAGACTTCGTGTTACAGGATATTTAAAAGAACAACGAGGAGGTCACGCTGGAAGGCCTGCTGAACCTAAAATGTTACAAATTGAGGAAGACATTTTAGAAATGAGTACTAGAGCCATAGCAGCTCAAGTTGAAGTTTCTCATAATAAAGTGTGGAAGACAATCATTATCAACGGGTACAAGCGTTACAACCTGAAGATCATCCTAGAAGAGTTACAGTTTACCAGTAGCTTTTAGAACAGTTTGGCAGAACTGAAGATTTGACGAAATTAATTTTGTGTACAGATGAGGCCACATTTACACGAAATGGAGTGCACAATTTCCACAACAATCATGTTTGGGCTGGCGTGGTAAATGGCAATCTTATTGGACCTTACTTTTTTCCACCTCGACTGACTGGTGAAATTTATTTAGATTTGTGTACACAATCTGCCACAATTATTAGAAGATGTTCCTCTAAATGTGAAACAGAATATGTTGTTTCTACATGATGGGGCTCGATCACATTTTAGACGAGAAGTTCATGAACATCTAAATAATTAGCTTCCGAATAGATGGATAGGGTGCAGTAGATCCATTTCTTGACCTGTTCGCTTCCCGGATTTAACGCCTTGCGATTTTTTTCTGTGGAGCTATTTGAATGAATTGGTGTATCATGATGGAGCAGTAAATACTCTGGAAGAATTTCAACAGGGCACTGAAATTGCTTGTGATTCAATTGGAGGACACCAGGATTTTATTTTCGAAGTTTGTAAAGAGTCCTGGATCCGCCGAGCACTTTTTTGCGTTAATCGAACAATTTTGAACATTTTTTGTAAAAACGGTATTCATTTAACTTGGTAATGATTTTTTTTAAAATAATTTTTAATAATCTGAACTCTCTTATTATGCAACTTTTATATAGGTGATTTTTGGAATATCAACTTCTTTTGACGAGTTCTATAAGCTGTTAAAATAAATGTCTCAACTTTGAAAAAACCCTGTATATAATAATAATAATAATGTCTTTATTAATCCATCCACTTTGCGAGGCGAAGTTTAGCCAGCTGGCTACTCTACCACTTAACCTCACCATATATATATATATATATATATATATATACTCGTATATACGAGGGATGTCTTTTAAGTTTTGCATATAAAAACATAGTAGGCCGCGCGGATCGAACGTCAGTACTGAATCTTAACCTCACTCTTCAGTAAACTTAAATTCAAAGTTTCACAACAATACGTGCAGTGTTCTCACTACAGTGAATTTTAAGTGTCCACCAAGTTATTTGAAAAATGGAACTCAACCGAGAACATTTTCGTGGACGGGTGAGTCTTAGCGACGATCCCAGGGTGGGTGCACCAAAAACGGCAGTCACCCAGGAAAATGTCGATGCTGTGCGCAAACTCATCATTGAAGATAGACATGTGACATATCGCGAGATTGAGGCAGCCAGGGTTAATTGGTGTCAAAAATCGCTTGACCGTTTCAATTCCGGAAACTAAAAAAATGTGTACAGCATTGTTAGTGGTGATGAATCGTGGATTTACTGTTATGAACCAGAAAATAAACGACAGTCGGCTGTTTGGATGTTCCAAGGTGAAGAAAAGTCAACAAAAGTAATCCGTTCTCGAAGTGTTTCGAAAAAGATGGTCGCGACATTTGTGTCAAAAGCGGGTCATATTGCAACAATTCCTCTTAATGAGCAAAGAACGGTTACTGCGGATTGGTATACCACCATTTGTTTGCCAAAAGTCATCACCGAGCTTCGAAAAATCAATCCCGAAAGAATCATCCTTCACCAAGACAATGCAAGCTCGCACACAGCCCAAAAAACAAGGCAGTATTTAATGGAAGAAGTGGAATTATTGGACTATCCTCCATATAGTCCCGATCTAAGTCCTCACGATTTCTTTACTTTCCCGAAAATTAAAAACAGACTGCGTGGTCAAAGGTTCCAGTCACCAGAAGTAGTTGACGCATTCAAAAATGCCGTTTTGGATCTGCCAGCAAACGAGTGGAATAAGTGCTTCGAAAATTGGTTCGAGCGCATGCAGATGTGTATTAATCTTCGTGGAGAATATATAATAAAGACATCCCTCGTATATATATATATATATAGAGCCATAAAAATAACTACTATTAATAAAAATTATAAATTCCTTTTTTGAAAAACATATGCATATAAGCATGAATTAAAGTGAGAAAAGTGAGATTTTCAAAAAAGTTAGCGAGAAACTAGTGAATTTATACATAGAAAAGTGAGTTAATTTTCTGGGAAATTGAAAACGTGCTAATGAGCCACGTCAAGGTGCCCCGAAAACGGCTTCCACGAAGGATAACGTGACAAATATCCACGATCTCGTACTGACAGACCGCCGATTGAAGATGCACGAGATAGCTGAGACAGTATTCATCTCAAAAGAGGTCATATCCTGCATGAAATATTGGCCATTGGGCATGAGAAAGCTGTCTCACTCCGGATAACAAGCGTAACCGGGAGACCACTTTAGAGCAGGCTTTAACGCTGTTTAAGGACCTTCTGCGTCGTTTCATGACTGTCAACGAAATATGGATCCACTGGTATACATCAAAGTCCAAGGAACAGTCGAAACAGTAGACTTCACCCGGCGAACGTGCTTCGAAATTAGCGAAGACTGACCTATCGGCCGGAAAGGTGATGGCCAGCGTTTTCTGGGATTCATAAGGTGTGACCTACATCAACTACCTGGAGAAGGGCAAAACGGTCACAGAGCTCTACTATGCCGAATTATATGGCCGTTTGACGCCGAAATGCAGAAAAAAGCGGAACCATTTGGCGAAGAAGAAAGGGCTCTTCCATCATGGCAACGCACCAGCTCACACCTCCGCCATGGCCAAACTGATCGAATTAGACTACGAACAGGTGCCCCATCCACTGTATTCACTAGATTTAGCCCCGTGCGACTTCTTTTTGTTTCCAAACTCGAAAAAGTGACCTGCCAGGCAGAACTTGAGTCCAATGAGTAGATTATAGCCGCCACAGAGGCCAACTTACAGACCTCCAGAAAACAAATTTTTCAGATGGGTTAAACAAGAAGTTAAAAGGAGACTATGTTGAGAAATAAATTGTATCTTCCAAAATTTTCGTTTTTCTTTTGTAGGCTTCTTGGACCGCCCTCGAATATACCATATTACTTTTTTTCTTTTCTTTCTATCGTCTAATCTAAAAAACCCAATAGTTCCCTATGACACTCAAGTAACCCCCCATTTAGCCTCTTGGGCTGCCCTATTATAAGATAGCTTGCAACTTTATAAATGCAGTTTTAGAATATAATATTAACTGATTAATGCTAATAAGACACACAACTTTTACTTGAATCTTCCCTCTAGCTAATAAAACACAAACATTCAGTGCAATTTTGCGTTAACTATGGAGACAAATTCAATAAGAAATTATAAATCCTGTATTGCTAATTACTACTTTACAAAAAAAAACCTATAGACTAAGCATGTTCTAAGATGGCAGAGTCCATATAATTCAAATAGCCACTGTAGTACAACACTGTCATTTCTATTGTGATAACAGTCTTATTTACCAGCACTTTTCAGGGGATCAGAAACAGTAACATTACATTTATAAATGTTCTGGTAAATGGCACCAATATACTCAAGTGCACTTGTATGAAAGCAACATGAACTGCAATAAAACAGGGTAATAGGTGAAAAAAACACCTATAGGTATATAGTAGCAAAATCTATAATCTGCAGGATATTTAATGGATTTTTAGCAATAAAGGTGCCAAAATTGCAATAATATTTTTACTGCCACATAAAACATACTGTAAGTTTATGGAGATATAAGGTAATACTCCTACAGTATATTGAAAAAACTGCAGGTTAAAACTAGCTGGCAGGTTGACAAGTTGCTAAGGAAGATGGTTGAAATTTACCTATTATTGAGTAAGCAATAAAGTTACAAAAGTCGATGAACAAAAATCTTTTCTGAATATTTTGCTGCTTATAGTAGCCTAAAAGTTTCAAATTAATTCAAGCCACAGGTTTCGCAAAGGATCAGGATGTTTAAGCAGGTTTTTTGATACTGTAAATGACTCAATTTTCAAGCTGATTACACCTATGAAATTTTTGGATTTGAATATTTAAGGTCTGCCCACACTAATTTTTTGAACAGGCCAAGTTATGAAGCTGAAAATTCAGGTACATGAAATTAAAGCATAAGTACTGTACTTAAGTTTGAAGCAGGTGAAAATATCAAAACATCAGCTGGGCACCATCTTGATATTGACAGTGACACTGATGCAAAAAAAAATATTTTGCATAAACAATTAAGGCCTATTCATACTCAGCCGTGACGAGACAGTGCTGAGACCGGCACATGATCCGACCGGTGAAACTAAAAACATTCTGTGCTGTGTTCTCAGTACCCTCGAGGACGCTGTACCCCAATCATTGCATTGTTTTGGAACAATATTTTTCGATATTCACAGTCGTGCTTTTATGTAATTTTGTGAATATTTTGATATCTTTGGTAAAAAAACATGAATGATGAAAAACTAATTGAATTTGTGCATGCGCATCCGTGCTGTACAACCAGTCAAATTCAAAATACATGAACTTCCATTTTCTTCTCGTTTCTTCTTCTTCTTCATCCAGAATTAATGCAGTAAAAGTTGATCCTCTGAAAATTTTGCCATTTAAACCTCACATGAACACAACTGCACTGTCAGAGCACGGAGAAAAATATTGACCAGTCTAAATTGTAAACACTGTGAGCTCACATGAGCGAGAATCACTGGCATGTCACAGTTGAGTGTGAATAGACCTTTATAAAGCAAAAGCAATTGCACAAATCAATCTGAAACATTTAACCTATCTTGGGCATCAAAAATGCTTCCTCTACTTACAGACAACTGTGTTTTTCAACTTTGATAGGCTTCATTGCTTGTCTAATAATGAGTAAATTTCAACCATCTCCTGTTGACCTCTCAGCAACATGCCAACCTATCTACTAGTTATGACAAACATGATACTACAAAATTTTTCCGAGTTCTCCAATAAAAATATGCAAAAAACGCAATTTTAGAAATTCGATTGCTAAAATCTTGAAAATACTTTAACGCAGATTTTGAATAGATTTTGTTTCTATATACCAGTATCTGGAATGATCTAGTAATGTTTTTTCACTTGTTACTTTGGTCTATAGTTATACATAAAAAATTCTAACATTAGCATTGCACAAGTAATATCAGATATTATTAATCAGGTGTAGAAAATGGTACACTTTACCTTTTGCTGTTGACTTGTCTTATATGGGTGAAAACGTTTATAACATCTCTGACTCTTCTGGGAGCCTCCTCAATTTTCGAAGCTAAACAAACACAAGCCATAGCTGTGTGTTCTACTGGATGGCGTACCAAACTCTTGGAATAGTAAAATCGTTGGAGAAGGACTTGCCCAGTGGCCATTGCAACCTGAAAAGCATCGGCCGATTCCGTTAAAAATAATTCTCAATAACTGATTTATTTTCTTTAAAGAACTACTTGGCTTACCTGAGGTAGTTTGAGCAAAATTCCTGCCGTTTGTATCAATTCACAACCATAAATTCGCAGATCAGTCTCTGTGTCAATACCCAAACCATCAATTTGGGATGGCGTAGGCGAAAGCTTTTCTTCAGGCAATAACTTATTTTTCAAAGTCAATATCACTTGGCCGTATGGTTTACCGTTGTTTTTCGCGTTATTAGAAAGGGGATCGCTTTTGGTCGATCCCATTTTTGTAAAACTATTCGCACAAAAATAAAAAATCAAAATGGCACCTTTCCTTTCCTCCACAAAACAACAAAACATATACAATACACCACAAAACATGTACTGTACACTAAAAAGGTTTAATTCCATGCTATTCAATGGCAACACGGTGACTTGTGTGGTTGTCAGCGGCCATTTTTTGAGGGTGCGACACGGTTGCCAGATTTTGCATTAATACCCCGCAAAGTTGCCAGCTCTACAAATAAATCTGAGATGACTATACTTTTATATATAGAAATTTAGAGGGATAGGGGAGATCCTATAACAGTATGTGTTATTAACATTTTGGGCTAGCTTGACGAATTAGTGCTTTTTTGTTTGATAAAATAGCAACGTCAATAACACAAGCTGTTATAAGATCACCCTACTGAGCGAGGGCCGTGGCAAATGCTTGTTCCGGAAGTTGTTGTATCCAGTATACAACTTCTTCCCGTCCAAGTGATTGTGCACGCGTTAAGGAATACCTCAGTACCGATTGCCGGGTGGCGGTACAAGTCCGCCAACGGGCCACTTTAGGTCTATTTAATATCACTAACACGTAAAAAGAAGGTGGTAGACAAGGACCAGTCGACCGAGGCAGTACCACCCGCTAGCTTTTCCCAGGGTGTCTTATAAATGTCCGCATGTTTCCACACCTAAGCTATGCAGTCGGTTATCTAACAAAACAAAGAAATTAATGATGATGGATCCCTCGAGCACTTAAAACTCCGGACGTAAACTCACTCCACTCTCGGAATGTCCGGGTGGAGGGTGGGCTCGAGGGAACAACATCGAAGATAAAATTTGTTTTTCGAACATCTGCGGGATCAACAGCAACATTGATGCTGTTCATCACTACCTGCAATCCAATCGTCCCGCCGTGCTTTTCTTGGCGGAGACAAAAATCTCAGAGACTGCACCGATTAACCATCTCAACTTCCCAAACTACGAGGTGCACTCCAATCTGAGAAAGAACGGGTGAGTTGTGGCTTTTGTCCGCAGCAGTCTTTCCTGCTCCAGGGATCTTTCTTTGGAATCAGACCGGAAGGACATTCTGTGGCTTCGCCTCAACTCCAAAACATCACCCAAATTTATTTGCTGCCTTTATCGCTCTCCCTCGAACCATAACTGGGATGACCTACTCGAATACCTCGCCGTCCAGATCGACTTCCTGAATATCAATCACCCCGCTTCAGAGGTAGTTCTTCTCGGTGATTTCAATGCCCATAATGAGCTTTGGTTGGGCTCAAATAAGACCGATGCAGCAGGTCGTGCAGTCGAAGCGTTCGCTCTTACTCAAGGGCTGACCCAGCTGGTGACGAGCCCTACTTTTTTCCCCCGCGTCTCGTCACACGCCAGTAGCCTGCTGGATCTCTTTCTGACCACGCATCCTGCCCCTTACAGCACTGCTGTCCTGTCCCCCCTGGGTAACTCAGATCACGGTGTTGTGGAGGTTAGGTTTCGGTCCGAAGCCGCTGTGGCAGCAGAAACTCGCACAGGCCGCAAAACTTGGCATTACGGACTTGCCGACTGGGAGGGGCTCAGAGACTTCTTCTCTAGCTTTCCTTGGAGAGATGTCTGTTTCACTGACGCGGATGCGTCGACTGTCTGTTCTTCAATAACCGAAATTATCCACGTCGGAATGGAGGAATACATCCCTCACACAGTGAAAGTTCCCAAACCAGGGTCCAACGGCTGGCTCAACAAATCGTGTGACACTGCTCGCCAGCAGAAGATCAAGGCCCACAGAGCCTACTTACAAAACCCCACTGTAGAGAACAGACAAGCCGACGTCGAGTCCAGAAACAAATATAACGAAGCGGTTCGCAATGCCAAAAACCAGCATGATATAAAAGTTAGGCACAGGGTAATATCGCAGCGCAATGGCAGTCGGTCTTTCTGGACGCTGGCCAAGCAGATTGAAAAGAACTTCTCACACAGTAGCCTTCCACCACTTACGTGTCAGGATGGAACTATTGTATTCGACTCAAAGGCCAAGGCGGAAGTGCTAGCCAAGATCTTTGCTGCCAACTCCACCATGGACGTCCCCACCAACGCCCAAGTGCCGTCAATTCAAAGGGTTCCCCACACTATGCGGGAGGTAACATTCAGGCATAAGACCGTAAGACGAGTGCTCTTGTCGCTCGACATCAACAAAGCTTCTGGTCCGGACTTGATTCCTGCCATTGTACTGAAGAGATGTGCAGCGGAGCTTGCTCCAGTTCTTTCGCGTCTCTTCCAGATATCTTATGAATCCGGCACCTTCCCAGAAAACTGGAAATTTGCTCATGTACAGCCCATCCCAAAAAAAGGATCTAAAACCGACCCTTACAACTACAGGCCTATAGCTCTGCTTTCTGTTATAAGTAAAGTGATGGAGAGGTGCATAAATCGCGAGCTTCTGGACTACCTCGAACGTCACAGCTTGATTAGCGACAGGCAGTACGGTTTCCGGCACCAACGATCCACAGGGGACCTCCTAGCTTACGTCACGCAACTGTGGAGTAAACTCATCCAGTCTCATGGTGAGGCTCATGTCGTTGCTCTTGACATCACGAAAGCGTTCGATCAGCTGTGGCACGCTGCCCTCTTAAGCAAACTTCCATCCTACGGCCTCCCAGAAAAGCTTTGCAGATGGGTGGCTGACTTTATCTCTGGCCGCAAGATATCCGTCGTAATTGACGGATTCTCCTCTTCATCCCACACCGTCAACGCGGGTGTTCCCCAGGGATCAGTCTTGGCTCCAACACTGTTTCTCTTACATATCAACGACCTCCTTTCCTGCACGATCAACCCAATCCACAGCTTCGCTGATGACAGCACTCTACATGCAGGAATTCAGAGTGACAAGCCGATCTCTGCCGCTGAGCTGGAAAAAAGAAGACTAGCGACGACTTCTTCTCTGACAAGAGACCTGGAGGCTATCACTGCTTGGGGACGCAACAATCTTGTACAGTTCAATGCTTCAAAAACACAGTATTGTACTTTGACGAACAAAAAGCGTCCTAGCGCTCATACAGTTTCGATGGACGGTCGAGTTCTACCAAAGAGCCATTCATTTCGGCTGGTCGGAGTCCAGATCACCGAGGACCTGATCTCGCACGAACACATCTCTTCAATAGCTGCAGCTGCTGGGAAAAAGCTAGGCTATTTGTTTAGGGCTAAGAAGTACTTTTCTCCGCATGACCTTCTCACTCTATACAAGGCCCAGATAAGGCCTAGCCTCGAGTATTGCTCACACATTTGGGGTGCTGCCGCCCCGACTACATTGTCCATGCTCGATGCTGTCCAGAGGAGGGCGGTCCGACTGATCGATGACTCCTCTCTAACAGACAGTCTCGGGACTCTTTCGCACCGGCGGGCCGTCGGCGATCTAGCTCTTTTCTATCGCTACACCAACGGGCTTTGCTCCTCAGAGCTCTCTTCTATGATGCCGCCGCGCGATGTGCCTGCCAGACAGACCCGCCTGACTTCGGCGTCCCATCCTAACCGTGTCAAACTTCGTACATCCAGAACTGGCCGATACGACCGCTCCTTTGTCCCGAGGGTGTCTAGATTGTGGAACAATCTACGGGAGGAGGCTTTTCCCAGTTCTGCTGGCCTTAGGCAGTTCAAAAATCGTATTAACAAAATTTCTTTGGGATCATCATAGCAGCCGCGGTGTTCCGACATTTAGGCTTCTGCCTGGGCGGCTGTTTCGATATAAAAAAAAAAAAATCACTCATATCTACTTACTAATCTGGAAAGGTTCAAAAGAAAAACACATACTGCAAATACCTAAATATACAGAGTGACTTTGAAGTTCAGTCATTAATTTTCAGATAATGATTGTAGAAGGAAGATAAACCAAAATATGTGTGTAAAAATAAAAAAAAATGTTACCTTGAGATCCCGTAGTGAACCGGGAGCGGGAACAGATGGAATTTCCCCTTCCTCTCGAAGTCTTGACTGTTCCAAGTTACTCCGGAAGTGGTTAGATGGCGCATGTTGCGCAAAATGCTTTAAGCTCCTTGATAAACTTTGAAGTTGAGTCATTAATTTTCAGATAATGATTGTAGAGGGAAGATAAACCAAAATATGTGTGTAAAAATAAAAAAAAATGGTACCTTGTTTTATCAAGTATCCTCCCGACAAGTATTTCAGTGCGGACCTGTATTTGATCGTGCGGTCTTGGAACACCGGCATGCCCTCCCCTGTGAGGTCACCTGATTCACGAGCCCTTTGTACTACATTAACAAAGGCACGAGGGGTTGGTTGCACTCGATTGGGAAACCGATCCGTTTAAATCCGTGATGCCGCGGCAGCATTTTGTAAAGACTCGCCCCCCCGTAAATAAGAATCATGTCCACAAGTTCAGCATTTTCCTAAACATGTGCCATTTTTTATTTCGTTTGAGCCACGCAACAAACACCACTATTCACTCACGCGTTACCGACTGACACATTGACTAAATACAACTGAATAAGATTGTAGCAAAAACATCGTTTCAAATTCTTTCGCTTTTTTGTTTCCGATGCGATGTTGCCAAACACGAGTACATAATATTATTATTGAGACAGGGCGGTACTCAAACTTCTAAAGGGCTATACCTTTGTTACTTTAATTTTACCAGAAAAATGTTAAAGGAAAAAACATTTCTTTTGATCAGATCTACTCACTGTTAAAATAAATGACTCAACTTCGAAGTCACCCTGTATATTTATTATATAAATCTCATACATCTTTCTAAAAACAAATCAGTATTAACACTATTATGGTGCAGATGTTTTCATTCCCCAGCCTTTGTTGGCACTTGCATAAATCAAAAATTAGGAAAAAAATTGTGTTGATGTTACTACAATTCAGATTTCGTTTTTCATTAGAACAATATTATTATTGTCCATGGTTACCGACAGGAATTTTTCTTAGGGGTGCTGATCATCATCAAGACATAACTTATTGTGAAATTGTACCTGCCCCCAAAATTTTTTGATGCGCAGAAGTAGCAATTTTCTCAGGGCGGACAAGTTTTACAATATTCTCAAAGTTGTACACAAAACCATGCGGTGCTGTTGCGTTTTGTAGAACTTCCGATTTCACTGTTTTTTCACTTGAAACTTATAGAGGGTAGTCTTATAGATTATTTTAAAACAAGAAAAGTGTGGATGAAGCACTTTTTTCATGAAATTTTTTTCCCAAATCACTGTATTTTTAGCAGTTTTTCCACCATTAACTCCACCGTGCTCCACCGCCATCCGCCGTATGACGTTGACGTCTGTGAATATGTCATTAATCAAATTCAAGCGGATAACCAAATGGAAATGGTATTTACCATTTTGGGTTGGTATTTACCAATCCATTCAAGCGAGTGTAGTTATCAGTTTGGTTATAAGATCCGTGACGTCACGAATCAGCTGTTATATGTCATAGTTATCACCGCAAAATTGTGGTATTTACTCAACTCAAGAGTAGTTTTATATTTCTGGTTATTATTTGAAATATGGCAAGTTAGAATTTTGCCGGGTATTGGATATTGTTATTGTACATTTCTCCCATGAATATTATGAAAGGTTTCTTATTTAAACTTTCCATATACAGTTGTAAACGAAAAAGCGCCGATTATTAAGTGATAATAAAAATAATCAGAGATTATATACGCGCTTTTCTAAAATAAACAACTTGCAACAAATCCGCGGTTAAAACCAACGCGTTCAAGCGATTCGTGTAACTGACGTCATCAACCCGTGTGTCATCTTGAACCATATTATAACCGCGGCACATAACACTGAAATTTTGGTTATTGGCTTGGATTTGATTATAGTATATGAGAGGCGCTTGCCTGCACTGTTGCCAGATTGGGCTCCGCATTAAGGGGAAAGTATGAAAAGTGGAAAATTTATATACGTATATTTAAATAATGAAACACAAAAGCGAAAAACTGAAACAAACAACAGTGGCAAAATAAAAAGCGATTCTTAATAATTATATAACAAAATATAACAGTAGTAAACTAAAAAACAATTGTAAATAATTATAAAAACAGTAAAACAAGAAACAATTCCATGTAATTATAGAAAACAAAAAAGAACTGTGGGTCTGGGCCTCTTCAATGTATCCACGAAACGTGGGCACATTATTTATGTTCCAACTAGGAGTGCGACTACGCTTGAGAGCGAAATACTAATATTTGTCAAGCCGGGAACAGTAATCTGGAAGGACGGTGGTCCGGCTACAATCGCTTGGGGAACCTAGCAGGTGTTTCCCCCTACATCCATGAAACATTGAACCGCACACTAATTTTATGGATCCAGTGACAGGAGTGTGCACTAATGAAATTGAAGGGCACTGGTCTAGATTAAAGCAATTTTTGAGGCGGCTGGGTGTCATGAAATCGCCTCATTTACCCGAGTATATTGACCAGTTGACAGTGAAACTTATAGTGGGTAGTCTGATACATTATTTTAAAACAAGAAAAGTGTGGATGAAACACTTTTTTCATGAAATTTTTTACCAAAACATTGTATTTTTAACAGTTTTTCCACCATTAGCTCCACCGCCATCTGCCGTATGACGTTGACGTCTGTGCATATGTCATAGTATATGAGAGGCGCTTGCCTGCACTGTTGCCAGATTGGGCTCCGCATTTAGGGGAAAATATGAAAAGTGGAAAATTTATATAGGTACGTATAATAAATAATGAAACACAAAAGCGAAAAACTGAAACAAACAACAGTGGCAAAACAAAAAGCGATGCTTAATAATTATAAAACAAAACATATCAGTAGTAAACTAAAAAACAATTGTAAATAATTATAAAAACAGTAAAACAAGAAACAATTCCATGTAATTATAAAAAACAAAAAACAACACAGTAAAATAAAAAGCAATTCTAAGTTGTAACAAAAAAAGAACAGTAGTAAAACAAAAAAAAACAATTTCATGTAATTATAAAAAACAACAAACAGTAAAATAAAAAGCAATTCTAAGTGATAACAAAAACAAAAAGTAAAAACAGTAAATTAAAAAACAAATCCAAAAACTAAAATGAACAATATTAAAAGGCGGCAATTTGTCGCAATATATTTTTGAATCGGTCTCCGGGTCTAGGACCATAGAGCCCCCACCAAATCAACTGGTCAATATACTCGGGTAAATGAGGCGATTTCATGACACCCAGCCGCCTCAAAAATTGCTTTAATCTAGACCAGTGCCCTTCAATTTCATTAGTGCACACTCCTGTCACTGGATCCATAAAATTAGTGTGCGGTTCAATGTTTCATGGATGTAGGGGGAAACACCTGCTAGGTTCCCCAAGCGATTGTAGCCGGACCACCGTCCTTCCAGATTACTGTTCCCGGCTTGACAAATATTAGTATTTCGCTCTCAAGCGTAGTCGCACTCCTAGTTGGAACATAAATAATGTGCCCACGTTTCGTGGATACATTGAAGAGGCCCAGACCCACAGTTCTTTTTTGTTTTCTATAATTACATGGAATTGTTTCTTGTTTTACTGTTTTTATAATTATTTACAATTGTTTTTTAGTTTACTACTGTTATATTTTGTTATATAATTATTAAGAATCGCTTTTTATTTTGCCACTGTTGTTTGTTTCAGTTTTTCGCTTTTGTGTTTCATTATTTAAATATACGTATATAAATTTTCCACTTTTCATACTTTCCCCTTAATGCGGAGCCCAATCTGGCAACAGTGCAGGCAAGCGCCTCTCATATACTATAATCAAATCCAAGCCAATAACCAAAATTTCAGTGTTATGTGCCGCGGTTATAATATGGTTCAAGATGACACACGGGTTGATGACGTCAGTTACACGAATCGCTTGAACGCGTTGGTTTTAACCGCGGATTTGTTGCAAGTTGTTTATTTTAGAAAAGCGCGTATATAATCTCTGATTATTTTTATTATCACTTAATAATCGGCGCTTTTTCGTTTACAACTGTATATGGAAAGTTTAAATAAGAAACCTTTCATAATATTCATGGGAGAAATGTACAATAACAATATCCAATACCCGGCAAAATTCTAACTTGCCATATTTCAAATAATAACCAGAAATATAAAACTACTCTTGAGTTGAGTAAATACCACAATTTTGCGGTGATAACTATGACATATAACAGCTGATTCGTGACGTCACGGATCTTATAACCAAACTGATAACTACACTCGCTTGAATGGATTGGTAAATACCAACCCAAAATGGTAAATACCATTTCCATTTGGTTATCCGCTTGAATTTGATTAATGACATATTCACAGACGTCAACGTCATACGGCGGATGGCGGTGGAGCACGGTGGAGTTAATGGTGGAAAAACTGCTAAAAATACAGTGATTTGGGAAAAAAATTTCATGAAAAAAGTGCTTCATCCACACTTTTCTTGTTTTAAAATAATCTATAAGACTACCCTCTATAAGTTTCAAGTGAAAAAACAGTGAAATCGGAAGATCTACAAAACGCAACAGCACCGGCACCCATGTTATTGTTCAATAACATATGGCTTCCATTCCATTCAAATTACACTGAGCTTCGCATATCAACTCTGCTGCTCTAAGAATATATGATTTAAAATGAAGTATGGAAACTATTTTGGACAAAAAGCAGTATAAATCATCACTGGTTATTCAGCCATATAAAAACTTGCTGTTTCTACA